TAAAGATTCGAAGTGGGAGTGAATATGATAATTACTGTGTTAAATGATACCAGTTTGAACCCGTCGGAAAAGAGAACAAAGGTGGAAATGTTTTACTGTCACTTCCACATACAGAAACCAGTGATCCTGATAATGATAACGAGGATGATGCTGGTAATAATGATAATAAGAGTAGTAATGAAATAACAACAATGATGCTGATGATAATAATATTAATAACTGTAACAATAACATGATAATAATTTAACAATGAATAAACAATAACATGATAATTATAACAATAACAATATGATGATAATTATAGCAATATATACAATGATGCAATAGATGAGCAATAACAATATGATATAACAAAACAAAAGCATGATAGTAATGATAATAACAACAAAAGTAACACAATGATACTGGTGCCTAGAGCATACCATTAATGATACTAACACTCCTCAGCATAAATCAGAATAAATCAGAATCCCCGCCTACACGCACATCTCAGCGCCACGCCTCTGCGGCGCCTGCACGGACGCCCGAAAGGAAATTGACCTGAAGATCCCAGAGCCAGAAACACGTGCGCTGCCCCAAGGTCGCGTCGGCGCAAGGTGAGCCCCAAATCGGATATGTTGCCGCTCGGGATTACTCCTTAATTCTCGATACGTGATAGCGGAGAGCGGAGGGGGAGGAGGGAGGGGGGGAGGGGCTCGCCGGGAGGGGAAGGGGCGGGGGAGGGGGGAGGGCTCGCGGGGGTGGGGAGGGAGGCAGGCGGAGGGGTGCCGGGGCTGGAGGGAGGGGCAGGGGGGCGAGGGCTGCCGGGTGGAGGGAGGGGCGGGGGGTGGAGGGAGGGGGGAGGAGAGAGACTGGTGACTGTGGGAGGAAGATGCATTACCGAAAGACAGAAGGTAGGATGACAGAAATCAAAGATAAAATTGGGTTGGAGATCCTGACTGAAGACTTTTTATTATCATTCCAACATTCTTATCATAATCTTGCTGATTATAATAATAATGATATATACCAATATAGATGTTAATTATCATTATTATCATTACTACTACTTTATTATTATCGTCCCTTAATTTGAATGAAAAAGAAAGTTTCATGTGTGACTGAAAGGACTTGAAGTCGCTTCCTTCTGACGTATACCGGCATACTGTATAAATCACAGAAGGATACATACACGCGAGCGTGCGCTTAAAGGCGTCATATTACGGATCTATTATTAACTCCACTTTAACAATTATTATTATTATTATTATTATTATTATTATTATTATAGATATCATTATCATTATCATCATTATCATCACCCTCACAGCATCATCATATTCATCACTATCATCATCATTATTAGTATCATAATTGTTGTTGTTATTATCATTATCATTATTATTTTTATATTAATATTACAACATTCTTCTTTTTCGAGGAAACTGCACTGCACTGAGTAGAGGACTGCAGTTTTATGCCACATCCATGTATTTCACGACAGACCGAGGGGGAGGTCCAAGCAGGAAGGTAGAAGTCCGCCATTATTATTATCTAATCATTATGCCTAGTTATCTTATGCTTGTTGACCAACGTTTATGGCTTGTGGCATTTTATTCCCATAATGCCGTAACTGCAACGTTTGGCGACTAATGCAATTTGCATAACTATCAGTATCGTTGTTATCGTTAGTGCCAGCAAGTGCAGATCGCACACGAGGTGGTTGCGTGCGCCTCAAGCCGGGGAGAAGAATGGGCCAATTATCTTGCCTCGGAGGCCCGGTCGCGGTTGGGGTTGTAATAGCTAT